AATTTGATAGCGTTTGGAGCTGATTTGAGGTGATTGAGATCGAAATATTTAGTTGAAAATCGAAGAAGAACACAACTACAATATACCGTTACGGTATACAATATGTTGTAGGAGTATATAGCTATACTACAACAATATACTATTATAGTTTATAAAACAGTATACCGCTACAGTATACTAATATACTATAGGAGTATATAGTTATATTGCAACAGTATACTATTATAGTATACAATATATTGTTATGGTATACTGTAATAATATGCAAGATACTGTAACAATATGTTGTAATAGTATACAATATATTATAATAGTATACTTATTACCAGTAAATTCACTTGTCTTTTCCATTTTAATTTGTTCTAAGCTTTTACCCAGCGTGAGGGGCAAATTGAAAATGCAAAAAAAAAAAAATATATATATATATATATATATATATATATATATATATTATATATATATATATATATATATATATATATTACTATACATATATATATAGTATGCTATATGATGTAACGGTATACTCTTACAATTAGATCCTTTTAAAAATTTTAATTTTGTTTTACAGATTATATTATTTCATTTTAATAATTGAATTAATTTTTTTTTAACTCTTTGCATATAATTGTATACCCTGTTGGTATAACTATATACTATACTGGTATCATATGTTAGTTAATATTTTTTTGGTTGTATTAACTAAATTTAATTGGTAAACAATTTAATTTTTCTTTAGTAATAATATAAAAAAAAGATTAATAAAAAATAATGAAAACAGTAAATAAAATTAGATTATGAAGAGAAAAAGAATATAAAAAATAGAAGTTAAATGAAATTAGAAAAGAAAAAAATAAAACAATAAGAAGAAAACGAGAAAAAAGGAGAAAAGAAAAAAAAAGAAAAAAGAAAAGAAAAGAAGCATAGAAATAAAAAAGAATTGGAGAATAAAGAAAAAATTCCCCACAAAACCTACTATGGGTAGGAAATGTAATTAGTTTATGGGTAGGAAAACAAATGGGTAGACAAGGGTAAATAGTTTTGTTTTTGTGCGTAACTGTGTCAAAAGCCCTTGGGTAGACAAGGGTAAATAGTTTTGTTTTTGTGCGTAACTGTGTCAAAAGCCCTTTATCCATATATCTAATGGAACTTTTAATAAAGTAAGAAAGTCTTAAAATGTAGGGCGAGGATATGAAGCTATCACTCTTTTCAGTACTTCATATGTCTATATTTAATAATTTTTATAGAATTCTCAAACAAAAAGTTACTTTAAAAATTGTTTATATTTTATATTTAAAAATAATTTAACTTAAACTTCTTACTTTACTCTTAATAAGTATTTTAATTATACCACAGAAATATAACATCATGACATATTCACCACAAATTTCAGACATCTTTTTCTCTTTCTTAACCTCTGTGTAATCATACCGTGCCATTTAAAATTACAAAGGGAGTATCTTTTTGTTCTAAGAGAAGAAAAAAAATCTAAATCGAAGTAATAATAGTTTATGATAAGAAGAAGGTAAAGGCGTATGTCATTCTATGGTTTTTTTTTTATGTTTCTTTTTCAACTAACTCGAAAGTTTTTTAAGTCACTTTGGACAATTTTAATATCCAAATTGATTTGCAAGAACTTTGGAACTTGGAAGGGAAAACGCTTGTTGAGGATCAGATTTCCTTGGGTTCTAACTTCTAGTGAAAACGCTTCTTTTCTCTCTCTACAAACAATATAATAGAAAGAGGAATGGATTTGTCACGACCCGAAATTTCAACTGCGGTATCGTGATGACGCTTAACATTAATATTAGGCAAGCCAGCATAACAGATAATACAAAATAAAGAAAAAGCAATAAATATCTGATAGCTGGTCAATAGCATACCATAAACCACCTCAGGATCTGGTGTCATAAGTACATGAGCGTCTAGATCCAGCTAAATACAAGGTTTTCAAGGAAATACATCACTATCCGAAATAAAATGAAAACAGTACAGTAGAAATAGGAAAGTGACTCTAAGGCCTGCGAACGGGGTGCAGCTCTACCTCGAACCGCTGACTGATATCCGCTAAGTACTTCTCAGAACTCCGCTGGTACCAATGTCAGAATCTGCACTAAAAGTGCATAAGTGTAGTATGCGTACAACCCACTCAATGTACTCAGTAAGTATCGAATATAACCCCGACGAAAAAGTGACGAGGCTAAGACAAGGTACCTACTAAAAACCTATGCAGCTATATATATAAACCAACAGAAATAATAAGTAAAGCAATAAAAGAAATAATGGGGTGGGGGCATATAAAATGCGCAACAACCAAAACAATAAGTACAGAGTCACCAAGTATGTCTCTTTCCGAAATAAGCAACGAATCCAGCAGGTTAAATTCACAATCCAAGTATCAAGTAAAAGCAATAAAATTATCAAATTGCACAGTATCACCCTTCGTACTTTTACTCTCATCCTCACCATAAAATAAAAAATGCAATTGCACGGCATTACTCTCATCCTCACCATATAATATAAAAAAGCAAGTGCATGACATCACCCTTCATGCTTTTACTCTCGTCCTCGTATGATAAAGATAATAGAGCAATCAAGTGCATGCACCCTTCGTGCTTTAATCCTCACATTCACTAAATCAATAATAACAATATACAAATAAGATTCGACAATACCCTCTGTGCTTTTCACTCTTCCTCACCAAGCAACAATATTAACCCAAGTATCAAGTAAGGTGGGAAGCAAATTTCAACTTCGTCCATGGTGCTAGAATAAGCAACTTCAACTTTTTCAACATTACAACAACCTCAACATGAGTAATCACACGAAAGCAAGAAATTAAAGAATAAACAATCTAGTAAAGGCATGGAAAGCATAGTAAATGAAATAATATAATACAAATAAGACAAGTTTCACCCGCATGCGTTAACTCATGACGACGTATATACACGGTGCACCTTGCATATGCAACGTCCTCACACATAGTTCATGTAACAAATAGATCAAACAAGTTCTAATTCTCTCAAATCAAAGTTAACCACGACACTTACCTCACTCCGCAATCAAATCAATTATCAATCACGGCTTTGCCTTTTGAACAGGCCTCCGAACCAACCGAATCTAGTCAATTATCGATCAAACAATTCAAAATAAGCCTTAGAAACTACCCACGAATGAAAAAGGTTCAATCTTTAGCTAAATTGAAAAAGTCAACCCCGGGCTCGCTTGGTCAAAATTCGAGATTCGGATCAATTTTCGATTAACCATTCATCCCCGAGTCAAGATGTGATTTGTTTCTAATTCAACCTCAATTCGAGGTCTAAATCTCAATTTCACAAAATCCCTAAATTCTACCCAAACCCCTTATTTCTACCATGGAAATTCATAGATTTGATATTAAAATTCATGGAAAAGTAATTGAAATTTATTGAAAACTAGTTAAAGTTGCTTATCAATGGATTCGAGAAGAAAATCCTCTTCAAAAATCGCCTCTAGAGTGTTTGGGGTTGAAGAATGGTGTAAAATGAGTTAAGTCCTTATTTTCCCCTCTTTTACGCAGTTGTAGACGCCACATTTGTAAACACTTGTCCGTAAATGTGATGTCTGCAAATGCGACATACTGAACGCAAATGCGATCAGTGCATCAAATCACAAAAGTCACAAATGCGATAAAACCTCCGCATTTCCGAAGGTCCCTCCCTCCGCAAATGCGAACTAAGCTTCATTTTTGCGAAGCTGCACCCAAAGTTTTCAGAGTCGCAAATGCGAGACTCCAGCCGCATTTGCGATTTTCCAGCCTTCGCAAATGCAGTTCCGTATTCACAAATGCGAAGTTTCCCAGTCCCAGTGCCTTTCGCAAATGTTATCTTTTGACCTCAAAAGGGATGCTCGCAAATACGAGCCAGACCTCGCAAATGCGAGATCTACAGACTTGCACCAGCAACTATTGAGCACCAGCAGTTGACACCTATCCGTAACCCATCCAAAATTCACCTGAGCCCCTCAGGTTTCAAACCGAACATGCACACAAGTATAATAACATCCTACAAACTTGCTCGCTACCTCAAATAATCAAAATAACATCAAATAACAATAATCGATCACCAAAACTCTAAATTTCAACTAAAACTCAACTTTACACAATCTTTCACATAATGCGCTCGGGTAACCCCAGATCACAACCAAAACATGTGTAAGCACGTGATTTTTGCCCTATACGAAATACTCCTACAAAATCCCGAGAAAATAGATTTTTCCTTAATTATTTGCCATTTTAGGAACTTTATAGATTTTTATTAATTGTTCGCATTTTTCTTGCATTTAAATTATGAAAAATACCAAAATATCACGCATGGCATTTAGGCCTTACTTTTACATTTTTAGGATTAATTGGTAGTTACTCGTTTTATAAAAATTGAAATCACAAAAAAAAAATGCTTCATTTTAACAGTTTTTCCTTTTATTGATTTTTTCTTTTTTAATTTAGGATTAAGTGGTTTTTATAATTTTTATAATTAGCTAATTAGTTTAATTTCACATTTTGGATAATTTCGGATTTTTAATTTGTAGGATTTTAATTAAAAGAAAAAGGAAAATTAGAAAATAAAAGAAAGAATTGGAAAAGAAAGGTTTGTCTTGTGAAATTGAGCCAAAATTAATGCTGAAACCAAAGCCCATACCCAAATCTGCCCAAATCCAATATCCCACAAAAAGCCCAATTCTTCCTACCCAAATACCCATTACCCTTTGCCCTAATCCCTCACATAAAAGGGGAGCTAAAGGCACAAAAATAGATCAGATTTTCCATATTGAAGACCTTGCCCTATTCTCTGAAAAGCATAACAACGACGGCACCCCATTCTCCTCTTCTTCTCAGCGTAAAACAGCACCCCTTCAACAGAAAACTTGAGGTCTGAATTTCAGCTTCAAAAACAAGAAAAATAAAGTAAAGAAAAAGAAAAACGAAGAATTTTAAATTTGGTCCGATTTCCTGCCTCCATTACTTCTACATCTCATGGGTGTCCGAGTTCGATTTCGATTTCAGAAGTCGAAGCTGTGTTCTGCTGAAGTTGTTGCTGCTCTGTATCCGAATTTATTCATGTTTTAAGCTAAGAGGTAAACTCAGAAAACCCCCTTTTGTATTTTGCTATATCTGTTGACAATCAGATTTCTCTTTGGCTGCTCGAAATTTGGTCCTACTGTTGGCTCTACATTTGTTTCCCTCTGAATGATTTAATAAATTCTTCATGTGTGGGAGTCAATTTCATAATGAGTTTGTTCGCTGCAAGACATTGAGTCTATTTGCTTTCCTCAGTTTTCTCGATCTCTGCTTGAAATTGTCTTTGTTCTTTTGCTGTCAATGATTTGTTTGCATTTATTGTTAAATTAATGGGTCTGTTTAAGAACTTTTCTAACTTTCCAAGTTGTTGAGGTCTTATCGAATTGATATTTATTTGAGCATGGGGATTGAATTCGTGTTAATTATTTTGTTTTCTTCAACTCGTGATGCACTAGTCGAAACATTTCCGCTAGTTGGTCAATTGATTCCATGTATTGGAAGCAATAGAATTGTTACCTAACAATGCAGTTACAATCCATATTTAGAGTTGGCACCCTTATGAATATGTTGAAGTTCCATTAATTTCAAATAGCATTTGTTTCGAGTTTGGTAAGTTTTATTGATTTCTTTTTTTGATTGATTCACTGTTTCTTTAGAGTTTAGAAATGTTTCCTTCCGTCTCTTCATCCTCTTACTAGTCGTATAAGTAAAAGATATAAGCATAAATTGTTGGGTTGTAACATTAAATTTTTTTTTTAAAGTATTTTTTGAGTATATTCATGATAGCTAAAATTATATAGTATATTTTTACAATAAAATCCCAAAACCCATGGCCCCTCACTTAACTAAGTTTAAAATCCTTAGAAATCGAGGTGTGCTGCGCCAAACAAAATTCACAAATTGCGTGGCCCTCTTTAATTACCTCTATTAAAATATTTTAGAACTCGGGACGTGCCATTTAGCAAATTTTCATGGCCTCCTGCAAAGTTAATAACACGTTAGTCACTTTAGGCGCGTTCTTTATAATTTTACCTTCCTAAATTCGGGTGTGCATTTCATGTGACCCAAATCCAAATCCCAAAACGTTGAATAAAATGTGTTTGAGGATCCGGGTGCATTTCATGTGACGTGATCCAAAAACATGTTTTAAAACAACGTTCAATTTCTAAAAAATTTAACTAAAAGCGGTAAATAATTCTAAAATTGCACTATAGGATGACATGTATAAAATCGATTTTCAGCCATTTATAATAATTTAAGCGACCGTGCTAGAACCACGGGATCCCGGGGGTGCCTAACACCTTCCCTCGGTCAACAGAAATTCCTTATTCGAATATTCTGGTTCGCAGACTCCAATTGGAAGTCGAAATTTCCTCGATTTGGGATTCAAAATAAACCGGTGACTTGGGACACCAAAAGCCAACCCTATCCCAAGTGGCGACTCTAGAAATAAATAATCCCATTTCGAATAATGTCACTTTAAATGGAAAAACTCCCTTATACATTTATCATTCGGGGTGGTGTGTAAAAAAAGGAGGTGTGACAACATGCGTACAAAAAATATCATACAAACTTACCGGAATCTTCAAAAATACCGATCTGAGGTCGTTTAACCATGAATGTTGACAGTGGTCAACTCTAGCTCATTTTAAAGTCAAAAATCACATTTTCTTTCACAATTTTAGGTAAAAGCTTTCCGGAAAACGACACGGACCACACACTCAAATCAATAAAACATAAATGAAGCTAATGGAAGGTCTCGAAATACTGAAATTAAGGCTAGTATGCAAAATGGCCTATCTGATCGTCACAATGACATAGGAGAAAAGCGTTCATATATAACGAACATATAAACAATACACAACGAATTTAACTTATATGTGTAAAACAGATCGCTTAAAATTTTTAGCAAGTGATATACTTAATTTTTCATTAATAATAGACGGGTTACTTTCTAGTTACAAGAGGTTTACTTTCAAATTATTAATTCCATTTACTATGGACGTAGTGTTTTTCAAAGGACGTTTGAGGGCGCGTGCGGTCGTCAACTACGGCGAGGCGGTAGTACAAGTGGATAGTCTAAACTTGCTTACTGGAAAATGGAAAATGCTTAGATGCAGGCGTGGTGGACGTGTAGTAGCTACAGACTCAGACGAACTTCAGTAATTTTTTTGCTTAAATCCTGTATTTGTATTAGAAGTTTATTAAATAAATAAAAAATATTTAATTGCGAACCCAATGACTAAACCGAGTTAGGAATCGGTGATAAGATCAGAACTCATACTCTTTCGAATCCTGGTTCCGCCCCTGCCTAGATGGTAGGAGATATATTATGTCAGTGCTTTCAGCCAGGACGGATATGATTTCAGATCATTATCCAATGATTAATAAAAGATATGCTTAGTTTATCAGCATTATCATTATCATAGAATTTGCAGCATATGACCAAGCAGTGCTACCATCATCTTATAATTTTGAAGCATATGGCTCCTGTCTGTTGGAAAGCTCAGTGTATATGGACTATAATAATTAATTAACCACAGATTGAACATATATATTAGGTAATGGGATGCACATTATTTTCTATTGTTGGTGACAGGAGATCGAGGCCAGAAGCTGTGACAGGAATTCGGCTGAATTCAATAGTTTTTTTTTGAACAGTATATTTGTATGAATAACTCGTTAAGTATGTATACATATTAAATTTAGACTCATTAGCACTCAAAACTATTTGTTTTAAATTCCAGAACCTATAAAAATTGAAATCATGGCTCTGCCTCTAATTGGCTATTGTATTAACGAACTTGATGACCTTCAGAAAATTAGGAAATGCATGCAAATCTAGAACTAAATTTTTTTTAAAGAAGCATGAAGATTCGCAAAACAGTAAGATGGGCACATAAATAATAGAATAAAGGCATCATATTATATTATAAGTAGTTTGTAGTGCTGGTGGAAAGGTTGCCCAAGAGTAGATAATTAATTATGCGTATACTATTAAATAAAGGTTAATTTCTGAACGTGATTTTCATTTCAAAGAATTGGCAAATTTGATTGTAGTCGATCGTTTTTAGATAGTTTAGGGTACCATTATGAAAAAAATGTTTCAATCTTTACTGTATTTTGGAGATCAAACGCCAAGTCTGTATGATTTGATTCCTCTTTTTCTACTGAGTGCTCGAGGGGATAGAAAAGAGATTTGTGCCGAATATAAATTTACTACGTTTTCCACATTACTTTAAAAATAAGTGGATCGAGTATTTGTTTGTGCAAGCTATTCAACTAAAAAAGAAGGAAATTTTGAAATATTTAATTGCTTTTCTGTGGATTATAAGCCAATAAACCTGTACTAAGCAGCTCTTGGGATTGTTTTTTTTTTTTTTTTTGGTCTCTTTTTTAAATTTTAGAGACAGAATAATCCACCAGCGTAAGCTGACGATAAGTTCATTAATAATTGGTAGAAAAGTGCTGTTAGTCCTTATCATTCTTCCTTTAAACCGTCCTCTTGCATTATATTCTTTTCTTTATGCTTGTTCATGTTTAATTCACGGGATAAGAAAATAAGCAACGAAAAAGCTTAAAAGGATTTAAAATATATACATCGACATTGTAAAGAACAATTTTTATTGTCAGTGAATTAGTCGGTTCTCAACTATTTTTGGCGTAATCATATCAGGCGATATTTAAGAGGTTACCAATTATTATAGCAGACATATACACTATACTTTAAGCTAAAACAGGAGACAGTAATATGTCCAAATAGGTGTTTTAGGCTGTCCTTTTCGTCTTTTTCCCCATAAATGTACATTCAAGTTGTCTATACAAATCAAGATTCTTGGCATTTCTACAGATAAATATAAATAGTACTATGGATTTAACTATTGTCCCAGAGGTAATGTGAACCTTCCACGTAGTTATAGTAAATTGTCTTGGGAGAATCAAGATTAAACTCTTATGAGTTTTAAATCTAGGATAGCGATGTAAGTGTTAGTAATTGGATTCTGAATTTAATTTTTGTACATATATTTGATGAAACTTTTAGTAAAAATACAAAGGTTGGACTTTGGAGTAAAGCTAGCTAGCGAATTCGGCCGAACCGGTAGTTAGCCTTCTAGCTCCGCCCCTACTTGGGAGGATAACAATAACATAGGCTTGAGTGCAAAAGTAGCATATGATGCTCCATTAAATTCTGCTTTGTTGATATGACCCAACTTGGAATCAATCACAATATGTGTTTAT